TAACCTAAACTAACGTCTCATCAAAAGCAACCCCTGTCTTGAGATCTTTTTAACGAGAGTATTATACCTGTACGTTAACAAACAGAGATTCAACCTCGATTCATAATTTCCGCGTATTTTCCCCTCTTCGCTCACTTCCTCAAATCAACCCGGCCGCAGATTTTTCCCACTTCGTTCTCCACTCGGCGATAAGTTCGGCCCCCTGACCTTTCGCTTAAGTTATTACTTTTATCCGACGTCGGTCACGGAGGGTTGGAAGAGGAGTGGGATTTGCCCAGTGCAAACGACCCGTGGATCGTGGATCAGAATCGGTTCTATCAGGCCAATTAAGCGGCGTACCGAGTCTCTGCGAACAATCGCACCCCCGGCGTGTTTGTCCGACCACCCCCCAGGTCGGTGCTGCAGCGCGACACAAACGCTTTTCACCCCTCCTAGCCGCGTTTCTCGCGTGAGATATCGAACTAAAGAGCAACGCGCAGCGTTCGCTGCCCGGTGAATTACCGCCGAGGAACTCGTTGTTGCGGGGCGGACGCTGTCATTACGCGGTTTTTCCAGCTAGCCTCGGCGAGGGTGGACGAAGAACGAAGAGGGGAGGGACCGGCTTGGCCAGCGGGAGTCACAGGCCCGTGTAATCGCGTCATCCGAAACGCCCCGCGATTACGTCGCGTCGGATACACGGTCATCGAGTCGAGAAATCATCGAGCCCCGGCTCTCTTTCTTCTCCTCTTCTCTCGTTTCTGCTCTCTGGCCCGTCGCGTTTCAATGGACGCGCTCCACCGGAATATGCGCTGGTAACTGGAAATACACGTTCTAGGGATCTCGTCGAGTAAACGAACTCTCGCCTATTGAAAAATGGAAATACTGAACAGATCAGAGACAGGCGAGGATATTCGTTGGAATATTGTCTTTCTTGACACTTGTTTTCCCTAAATTCGAGAGTTTTCTATTGTGAGAAATGAAATTGCCGGATGCATCCTAATACGAGCACGAAAGCACTTCTGTTACAAAATGGCTGCTCGTTTCGTGTAAAAGAAGAAATCGCAAAATTTCAATTTATTTAATTAACAGATACTCGAGAGAGTATCTGTTATAATACATTGTTAGTCTCCTAAGCGGGTATAGTTTCGAAACTTGCGAAACGAGAACCGGGCCTGTATTTTTCCAGTTACAAGGGCTGAAAGTAATTGATAGGCGGGCGTAAGTACAGTGTTTTTGTTATTTGTTTATCGATCAAAGAGAAAAGGAAGTGTATTAAAAAACGCTGCGTCGCTTATTAGTACGCGATACACACCGTTTCTCTTGCATACGTCGCCGCAATCGGTAGGAAAAATCATCCCGTCGACCGTGTATCGTGACGTGTGTGTGAACCGTTTGCGTGCCCAGTTACATCTCAATGAATTGCCGCCCGCCAAGTCAAGAGCCGAGGAATTATTCCCGCCGACCCCGATTTTTCTTTCCTTTATATAAACAAATTATCCGGTAAACGCGATTAAGCGGCTCGGCATGCATCAAGCGCGTAATCGTTAATCGAAACCGCTCGTGGCTCTCACGTGTCGAAACAGTCCGACATGCCGTAATTTTCGTCGCGAGATTTTCTCATTTTTTTTTTTCCTTTTTTTAAGCTTCGCTTGGCACAAGTTTTCGTACAATAATTCGTCGCCGTGGCTCCAAAGAAATTCGTCGAAGCATCGAAATTTGAAATAAATTTAAAACTCTGGAATTGAATAACGATCGAGGAGAACGTAATCGAGTTCTCAAGGAGAACCAACCGAGAGTCACGAGGAACAGGGCGCGCCTCATGGGAAAGAGGAAAAGCGTGCTCGGTTCCGAGCGATCGTTCCTTGAAATTTGTTTACAAGGAACGCGAGATTGTAACGCGTTTCCCCCCTTTGTTGGATAGGCGGGATCATCGGATCGGAAAATCATCATCTGTCGTTTCCTGCAATTACGATCTTCTGCACAAAAGCGTTCGCGTGCGTTTCAGGCCCCGTACAGTCATCGTGTGTCGGGAAATCATCATCCGTCATTTTTTCCCCTCCCTCTTTCTTTCTTTCTTTCTTTCTTTCTTTCGTTCGTTCGTTCGTTCGTTCGTTCCTTCTTCCTTTCTAGCGTCGCGTCTGCTCTTTTGTTATCTTTGTTCCAATTGGCGTGCGTGTTGCTGCGTCTGCGTGCAGATCGCATTTCGGTGCGCGTTCACCGGAGGGGGTTGAACGATATCGCTCTGTTCCGGATAGAAAGGCAAATGGCTCTTTCTTCGTTAAATCCCGCTTCTTTTCCCTCAATTCGCTCGTTATTTCTACCTCTGGCCGCTGATCATTCTGATTGTTCTATCGTGGTTCGTTCACCGAGTTCTGCAGTAATTCTGAAGTAGACTGGGGGGAGGGGTGGGGGGACGTTTGAACCGCGCTAGGGTGAGTTTCGAACGTGCACTGGCTTGAGAGATCCAGGTTAAGCGGAACATGATTGAAATATAATTGATATTTCTAAATGTCATCGTTATATCTCTTCTCGTGTATTTTTTTGAAATCATCTTGTCAGAAACGCATCATTTGTTCCCTCTCGTATCTTTCAATTGTAGTTTGGGATTCAGCAAAGTACGAAATTCAATATTTTCGTGTGCAGTAACTTGCAACAAGAGTAAAATCTCTGTCTAGGTTATAAATATTAAATAATAAAGAATTACAACCACGAACTTTGCCCGACTTGATAAAACGATACGTATTTATTTCTTCCGTCTCCGGAACTGAAAAAGGCATTAAACAAATCGAAAACACTGCTTGGTTTTCCCTCCATATTGACAAAGTCGCCAAATAAAAATCGCTCCAACATAACGTAACAAACGGCAAGAGAACTTGTGTGAAAAAAAACCTCAGATAGTGAGATATTGAGTGAAGGTTATTTCAAATATTTCCTTTTAACGTTTACCCGCGAGAAATACTTAAATGTGTCACGTATATAATCATACATAATAATTCTAGTGTGAAACAGAATCGTTGCTTGACGAGTGCAGGGATGCTCTCAGTATTCAAAGAAGTGCAATCGCGAGTAGAACGTTAATCGCGTTAAAATTTACCACTGAAAAATAGACGTTCACGATCGACAAGGTGAAGGGAAGAAAAAACTGCGTTAGCTCGGACGGAAGGGGGATGATGATTGCGTAAACGTGACACGTAGAACGAAGTTGACGGGGCTGACATGACCGGCCGGTGTTGGGTGTGGACATGAGAAGATAAACCAACACCGAGGGTGCAGACGGTGTGCATGAAAATTACACGGCAACGGCCGGCTGCTAATAATATGTTAAAATACAAAAACTTTGACATGATGAATACTCGCTTCACGTGAAGTTTACTTTCTTCCAGGGGTTGAATATTTAACTTGCTGGCTAATTAAAGTGGAAAGGATATGTGTCGGAAAGTTACCTGATGGAAGCCAAGGTAACTTTCTATGCTGTGAGTGGCGAAGAACACTTCCCCGTCGCAGGTCAGTATGAGCAGGAACCCGTTCAGCGCCTGTAACAGACGAATCATACGTCGCAGTTGTTAGTCTCATAAAATTCTCGATAAACGTTTCAACATTTCAATTCTAAATTCAATTTGTTTGCAAGCTTCGTGTAAAATGGTTTCGCGGGTTAATTTTAAAGATTATAGATTTTAAGATTTAGATTTGGGCAATTTTCTGCGTCAAAGATAAGAAAATTGCAATTAATTAAACATTCCGAGAAATGTCTGTCATTCTGAAACATCTGCAATCTAATTACAACGTGCGTAATATTTAACTGTATTCACAAAATTGAAATAATGCAACAAAAATGGGACACTTCGTATGTCTGTGTACTTCGTTTAGTATGAATTCGCAATGTCAGGAAAGTGAAAGATCTGCAACTTATAGTTTGTAATTATTTCGATTCATCGAGTGATCCTGCGATCGTCAGTGAAGCAAAGGCGAAAAAAAAGAAGGAGAAGGAAATAAAGAAATTCTCCGCAGTGACAACTCGATTCTACAAAACAAAGGGGAGCTGCGAAACGAGTTCTCGACTTCCTTTCCGAAAATCGCGGACTCGCCACGACCAGGCGAAAACGTTCCGGGAAAGTTTTCCCATTTATCGACCTGCGCCTGATGGCGGTCGCTTTCGAATACCAAAACGAGCTGGAAACTCGAACGAGCCCGTATCGAAGCCCGAAATATCCGTCCTAGTTTAAACGGCCGGCGGTTAGAAACGGGGGTCGCGCGGGGGTAGTCGGTCGTTTAAAGTACTCGTCTGCTCGCCCGTTTCCCGAGCTAAATGTGTATTGTTTTGTTTTATTTCGACCCGTTGCCGTAGGTGCCCGTGCCAGGCACAACGTCCGACTGGGTTCTATTGGTCGGAAAATGATGAAGGGAACCCCGATTCCTCAGATTTCGTCCCGCCGCGTCCATAGAAGATTTCTTCCTCGTTTCAGCGAGAAACGAAAGATTTTCTTCTTTGATTCGAGAAGGAATTTTAAGAAACGAACGACTGAGAACTGCAGGATTTCGAGAGGACCAAACACTTGGAAATGGAAGACTTGTAAATTAGACGTTAGACGAAATATTGCAAATTGAACGCTTGGAATTTTGCTAACTTCCAAAGCTTCCAAAGTGGACAAAGACAGCTCGCAGACTGGAACGCTTTCAAACGTAAAGTTTCTGAATCGAAACGTTTGTACGAACAACGGCGAAATGTTTCCAAATCAAATATTTGCAAATTAAAAACTACCAAGTTGAATTCCTGAGCTTTCAATTTCAACGCTTGCGAATCACAAGCTTGCCAAACGTGTAATGAAATTTGATTCCGCGAAAATGGAAGCTCGACGCGATTCGGAGGTCGCGAATGAAATTAATTCCAAGTGTCAAGAAATTCGTAAAGGACTGATCGACAGGATAAGAACACCATAACGCCGATAACGCCAGGGGATGGCTATCGAAGTGATCGCATGCGCGACGGATGCTGCGATTTGATTGGTTGATCCAGAGGGTGGGTTTCTCTTTGGCCCGCTCGCGTCAATACGGATCCGCGCGGAGGGTGAGTCGCTCCCCGAGCCTCGATCGAGCCCCTGTACCACGAATATAAGCTGTAATAGGATTTTCTCGCTGCCTGCCTACGATCCTTCCCCTCGAAATGGCCGACATGGCCATTTCTGTGAACCGCGCCGTCTCCCGTGGGACTTGGTCTAATCGGCGCGATTGCATCCCCTTTTTCAACCAATCGGTAGATGAAGGAATTTGGAACAAGACAGAAATTGATAAAAATCTAAATTTCTCGGAGAACGAAACGTGACTTTGACTTTTACTACTGTATAAAGAAACGATCAGTAACTGTATCCAAAAGATATCAAAATGAAAATTAAACGAAAAGCCAAATAATCTACGTCGAGACAGACCGACGATTCATTCAAATTTAATTAAATTAAACTTACTGTCAAACTATAGATAAACAATTCTTCTTTTTAATCTGTAATTTTGTCTGGTATTAATTATGAATAATTAAAACATCTACAATCGTTCATAATTCTATTACCAATTGAAATTGATCGCTAAATGTCGCACAAAGAGATTTTATACAATCCTACACTGCGTTACATTCGTTCTACGCAGTTTAAAATTCCCAGAAACAGACGTCGATGCGATTCAACGTACGAATTAAAAGCGAGAGAGAGAGAGAGAGAGAGAGAGAGAAAAGGAAGCGAAAGAGGAGCAGCGTTTCTCGTGTCGTTTGCATCGAGGTTTGACACGGTTGACACGATCCAGGAAGAGCAACGAAGGGTGGAAACGAGAGAGGACAACGAGGGGCCAGAATAAGAAAATCGATGGATTTTTATTTCTCGCGTGTGCTGGCCGGCAGCGAATCAGTCGCGTGCCGAGTGTGCGAGTACTCGCGTGTTCCGTCCAAGCGTGAACTTCTAATACCCCTTCATCCTCACCTTGACTCTGGTGTATTAGCGGGTCGCCAATAATACTTCACGCACGAAATCTTTCCATTTTCTTCGCTCATGCAACTAGAAGTCACGGGCACGGACACGGGCCGTGGCACGATCGGCCGGTATGCAGATACCCTACGAAGAAACCTGAATCGGAATTACACCTCTCTCGATACTCTCACCTCCCTCTATCTCCCCTCTTATAATCAATTCTCGTTCAGTTCGCTTCTCGTTCGTGTACGATGTGTTAAAACGCTGTTTCGACTCGTGTGACTTGTGTGTCGCGGAATTTATTCGGGTACCGGCCTCAAAATTGAAAGCGTTGGAATTGAAATTCTTTTGGAGTCGAAGCGATCGAAACTAGACATTTTCGAATCTTACGAAGTTCAAAGTTCTCGAATTGAAAACGCTCGAACTCAAGAACTTTCGAATATTGATATTTTTGCAAAATTTTAATCTTCGACGTGTGATGCGAAGCGTGATTGAAATCCCAATTGCACCGAAAGCTTTGCGACTCGAAACTTTTTTCTGAAGTCGTGCAAAATTTCTCCCGATTTGGAGTTTGATTGAAAGTTGAACTTCTTATAAAATCGGACGCTTTGGGATTAAATACGCTTCAAATTAGAAATGAGCGCGAGAGTGACTTATGCAGACATCGTCATTATTACTTTTCACTAGCGGTTAATTAACACGATATGACGTTATTAAACGGAGGAAGAGAGAGAGAGAGAAAGAGAGAGAAATTCAGCGAAGAGAAAGAAATGGGAATAAAACGTTAACAGCCAAGGATATCGCGTTTCTTTTGATCGCCACTTCGCAAACCTCTCGCGAATTGATAGCGCGCAACTCGCGTGCTACTTCACAGTCTGAATTTATAGTTCCTTTATTATTTCGACTTGAGCTGCTCTTAGGTTGCCGCACACGTAACTTGCTTCCAATTTTTCGAGCGAACGATCTAATCGGCCAGGTATATCACCTTCTTAGCATATTTCCTTCCTATCGCGTACAATTTACGTTTGTTTTTTTTTTTTTTTTTATCCGGCGTTCGTTTCTCTCTTTCGAGTTTCAGCTTTCAGACTGCTGCGATACCTTTGAATTTCAAATCTCTCGACTTCGAGAGGATCGAGGATAGATTCCTCTGATTTGGAAGAGTTTCAACTTTGAGAAACTTCGAAGCTCCGATGTTTCAATTCAGAAGTTTGCGATCTTACGGAATTTCAATTCAAACGCGAGATCCCCGAGCTCGAAGTTCGCTAAAAAATTAAATTCACAGAAACGCGACGTTTCGCGAACGTTGAGCCGCTAAGTATCTGCTTAATACTAAACGGCAATTTGTATTTCTTCTAGTTTTTTGTACGATAGCAGGTGTTAGATGACGGAGATACCAATCGAAAGACAACGCACGCGGTAATAAATCAGATAGCGAGATGAAACAGTTTCACCGTTAATTGGAACGTTATTCCTCTTAATTCGCGTGAAACCTAATGAATCTACGCGCAACCGAGTCTAGTGTATATAAATCAGATAATCGACACACGCCTCTCGCGGGATTTCATTAATACGAATACGAACGAGACTTTTATTCCGCGGGCAGGGAATGCCGTTTAATGCTACTAAGCGCAATTACATTGCGATTTAATTAACACATAATTAATTACGAGCAAGGCAATTAAAGTCGGCTCATGTACAGCGCAGTGCATAAATCAATGCTCGGTAAATATGACACGTTCTATGATACCGAATATGTTTTATAGAAATGGCATCATCGGTCACAGATGATGAATTAGGAGCATACGTACGAGACAAAGGGGAATAAAATTTTTTGCAAATCATTTTGCATCGACAAAGATTTTTTTTTCTTTTCTAATGGATTGACTCCTTGAAGACAAGACAAGACTTTCGCAAAAGTTATTTCTCGCATTCTACGTTGGTAAAATTTAATTAAAAGATTAAATTGTCTTAATTGAAATACTTCAAGTAAGATGCATATATTCTTCAACTCGAAGATTTTCAATTCGAATGATTTGAAGGCGTTTAGTTTAAAAATTTTCGAGAAGTTTAATGCCCGATTCAAGCTCCAGATTCGAAGAAAGTTTAATCTGGAATCATCCAATTTGAGAACACTCAACTTGGAAGCGTTTGACTTGGCAAACCTCAACTTAAAAGCATTCAGTTCGAAAGCTTTAAAATCTTCGAATTGGGAACCGCGTTCAACTGGAAATCTTTCGAATTTCATGCGTCCAAATTACGTAGCTTTCGATTCAACTTGAACACTTCCATTCTAGAAACACTCAATTTTAAATCCTCCAACTTCCGATGCATCCGATTCGAGGTGTTCGACATCCAAAATCATTCAGAGCAGAAACTTTTCAATGTTCATCTTCTCGATTTTCACTCGAACAATCGTGACCAGTGTCCCAGTGATCACCCCCCAATCACTTTCGCTCTGCCTCGAAGCTACAATCTGCCTCTCGGAGCTCTAACTCTCAATAATACAAGTCGGATTTTACGACGACAGTTAGTGGAGACGTGGCTCATTAACCTGCGAGCAATTAAACGGCCCATTGAGCGGC